TATCAAAGGAAATGTGTTATTAAGTCCTTGGGATGACCGGGTAGGATGCCAAAGGCTGGACGACGAAGAATAAAGTATTGTGAAGATATGAACGAAAGTAGATACTTTTAAGACATACCTCATATATGTATATTCCTTAAAATTACTCTGTCTTTTAATGAGATATCTTACTTACAAATATAAGCCTCAACACTATCACCTACCGTACATAAAAAAATTATATTAATCTAACAACATACAAATTTATCCTACATATACATTTTCGTTATTAATGCAATATAAAATCAAGTTAGATTCGATAGAAAGTAAATATTGCCTTCCACATTTATGTCACTATTTCCCATTAGTTCACTCTCATTTTCTCCAGATCCTCTAAGACTGCATCTTTCCACCTTTTTGTAGGCTGTCCATACAGTTCTTCTCCAGTCTGGTCTTTCCCAAAATATCAAAGCTTTTCCGTTTATTATTCAAGGAAGAGGGCAAAAGATGTCCCGAACAAATCTCTTGGAATATGGAAATATTTTCTTCTAAAAATTCATTGATGATGGCCTGACTGGCCCGAAAACGTTTTGAATATAATTTTGTTCCGTTTGGATAACTTTTTTTTATAAATTTTAATAAAAATATACCATCATACCTCAGAAGTTTTACTTCAATGAAAAAATCAATCACAAATGAAGTAACACATTCCGTTCGCAATAATACAATGTACCAAGACACAGGTCGATCGAATGACAAGCATTCATCAAATACAGTATTTATGGAGTAAAGTGATGATATGTGTGACATATATCAACTATTTTATATATCACTAATAACGAATAATGTTGTGTAAGTATATAGAACAAGTACTTTTGCTTCTATCCTGATTTGGTATTATAATATAGTCACAATGGGGTTTTACGGTAGTAGCAATCTATAGATAAAGATGTATAGCAAAAGCTTTAGCCTAATGTATCAAAATAGAAACAATGTACACACATTATACAACAACTAGCGAAATTATAGAACAAATTGTTATATTATATAGGTTTAGGAAAAATTATAAAGCAATTAAGTCAATGCGATAATTTGTTCCACAATTTCGCCATTTATTGTAACCAGTTACCATTACCGAAATTTGTAAAGATTTTAAAGGCATAGAGGTCATCAAGTCTTCCTTTTTCTCTACAAATACAAACTTAACCGCTAAAATTATGTAAGACGAGCAGATCGTAGCATATATATAGTAAAGAAATATACTCTCGCTGCATTATTAGCCTCTACGTAATAAAATTCAATTACTCTGATCACCACAAATCTTACAAGACTAACAAGAAACTTCAAATGTAAGGCAACAAGGCATTTTGAGTGTGGACATAAAGAAAAGTTCTATTTAAATTCAAGGAAATTCTCAGACAAATTAATGGTAAATTTGACATATTATGTGGAAAGAAGAAAAGTATGGGTTAATATAGCGAATTATCCCAGGAAAATTGAGGACAGGAGAGGTACCACATGAAGAGTACCTCTTCTTCTGATTTCTAACTTGCACAAGTAGTTTAGAACAACGTCAATGAACAAACTCCGTACTGCATTGATGATCATCATCTTTCAGAATGGATAATGGACACAAACAAAAGAAAGTAATACCTAAGTATAATGTTGATAATATCTTACTGAAATATTTTCTAAACGTAAGGAACAGTTTGTTTTTCTTTTTGTAGAAAATATCTAAGAGAAACTTTTATTAAACAATTTTTGAACATCAAGCTGACATCTATTCGGTCGCGTGTTATCATTTATTCTGACATTACTCTACTACTTTCTTTACCTTTTCATAACTTTACATACAAAACTTGGGCCCGATAGTTTAAAAGGTAGAGTTATAACTATCACGCAGAAGCCTTGGGATCCATCCTCGGCACCGGTGAAACCGTCCAGGTATTTTCAAATATCTATATTCTCAAAGTCGACACACCTTCAATAGAATGAGTCTATCTAACTCTTTTATTCATTCAGTATTGGATATTGGATTCCTTTTCCTATTTCTATTTTCCTCTTTCTTGGACTCTACTCGTACATTTTGTCCCTACATGTTCTTTTATGTCATCTGCCTATTCCACGTTTGTATTTCCGAGGTCTCAAGTTATGATTCCTCCCTTTCAGATACCTCTTTTATTATAGTTCTGCTTCTTATTCAATCATTGCTTGTATTGTTTTTTAAATTTTATTCCATGGCACTTTCTCTTTTAGCTATTTTTTCATGTTCCTCTTTCGTCAATGTCCATATTTGTACTTATTTTACGTCAAAATGACGTTAATTACCAGCTATTTAATTCAGGTAATTGACGCTATTTTCCAAAATTGAATAAAATGAAACTTATGGAAAGAAGTTTTTTTGAGTAAACTAAATTATATTCTTAATAACGAAAATAAGGAAGTCTGGGTTAAAAATATCCATAAATCTATTTTATATTAAATCATAATAAACAGTAACACAAGTAATATTTGGTGGAAGCCCCATTATTGTCAATACAACTTTGCAATCTTTGAGAATCCGTTAACAGACATCATAACTACCTGTGTTCATACTGATTTAAAGCAATATTCCAAGAACAAAATCATAACAAAATGGCAAATAAATTGGAATAATTCAAACTCTACATTAAGAACTATAAAACAAAGTGTGTTTGATAAGATTTCTTTCTTTCTAGTAAGATAAGAGACCAAGTGATCATATCCAGATTGCGTCTTGGACATACAAAGATAACCATGATGTTATATTAATGAAGGAACTTCCTCCGATGTGTTATGTGTGTGATAGTGAACTAACAGTGCAACATATATTAGTAGACTGTCCTCTCAATGCAATCGAACGACAATAGTTATGCAATAAGTTAAAGATGTTTAAGTGAAAATAATACATATAAAATTCTCAATTTTTTACGTGCCATAGAACTGAATAAGCAGATTTGATATTAACTTTTTGTTCCTCTTTCACATTTCATATAAATACAGTTCAATGCTAATAAACCTGTGTTATTGAAGCAAAATTTTGCAATTTTTGTTCACTAATCTCTATATTCAACAAGCTCCTCCCATGCTTGCTCAATTGCTTGCCATAGTTCAATTATATTCCGTGGGCTAAGGTTTTTTTCATTTAATTTATTTGTCAACTCTGCCCACACACTTTCCATGGGATTAAGGTTTGGCATCCGGGAAGGCCACGGAAGAGCATTAACATGAGTGCGCTCAAACCATTCTCGAACAATTCTAATCGTATGCACCAGGCAATTGTTGTTGGAAGATGAAGTTGTTATTGGGGAATCTCTGGACCACCGATGGCAACATTAGGTTCTCAAGAATATGTTTGTACTATAATCCTGTTAATTTTTCATCTATATCAGAGCAAACGCCTTCAGCACATCATACGTAGACTGACAATCCTCCAATATTTCTTAAATGATGAGTATACCGTTCATTATATCTATGATTTCTTAGCCTATAAATTCTTATTCGACCATTGCTATATAATTGAAACCTTTTTAATCGGAAAATGCAACATTATACCAAAAGATACCAAAAGTTGTCTTCACGGTTTGTGAATTTATTACAATTTGCAACTCGTCTACTCTTGTGATCCTCAGTCAAAAAGGTTTCCCTACAGCTATACAATTTATCAATTCACTTACTTTATTCCTTCTACGTGAAGTGCGAATGCTGTCCGTAAATGCTGTGTCTTCGCTAGCTTTTCAAGTTGTTGCAGAAGGAGCTTATCTTAGATAATCTACTAATACATCATCTTGTTACTTTGTGGAGAACTTCAGCCCTCTTGAGTCACCCAACCATGTTACAGAGTAGTTCTCATCCCATCTTTGTTTGATTTTCTATATGCATATATGGCTCACCTTCAAATCTGCTGCAACTTGCCTTAGTGATCAACCTACTTTGAGTTTGGCAATTGCTCTTGTTTTTTCTGCGGCATTCAAATGCATTCTAGGTATTTTGGACGCCTTTAATATCTTTTTATTTAAGTTTAAAAAACCGTGTGACACTGCGATTTTACAGTACTACAATGTAAAAATGCAGTTGTACCTCAGCTTTCCAAATACAGCTCCTGCTTTTTCTCATTCAGCGTTCTCATTTTTCCTGTTAAATTTGAAATTTCCCTCCGATTCTTCTACTTTCTCTATCGTCTCTTCTCATATTTTAAATTCTCTGCTTCTATATTAGTCATTATTTTTGTTTTCATGTACCGTTCATGGAATATAATTCATTGTCAGCCCATTTTCCATTCTCTTCTGTTGGATGTTTGGATTTTCCAGTTAGGAACGCCGATAGGCTCAGCATCTTGCGCTACCCCGTATGGCTTCGATAGTATCTATTATGTTTAGGTCAATTTCCATTTCTCTCCTAATGTCTACCAAACTTATACTGGCATATATTCTATACTTTAAATTTGTATACGCACCTCTATTTTATGTGCTCACAAACCGCTCCAAGGATATTGTGCATCTTTCTTTCAAAGATAGATAGAGAAGATTCATCTAATTTGTTTAATTTGTTTGTAGTGCCCTGCTCCAAACATGACGACCAGAACGATCATCGTCCTGTACAATCTTAATTTTGTTTTTTGAGATAAATGCATTAGTTAAATATTTTGACAGTCTATGGAACATCTGTTTTTGATAATGATATGTCCTCTTGGGTGTCCAGCTAGATAAACTTTCTCATAGCTTCGAATTTTTGGTCATTATTAGTAAGGTAGCCTCCAGAGTTTGTTATGTTCTAGGTATTTCTCGGTAGTTACCCTGATATTTCTAATGATGTCTTGATTGTAATGATCCCAATAATTGGAATGTAAGTATACTTCAAGTAGAATGTCAGTTTGGGAGTTTGGGTATTTAAGTGGGGATCAAAAATTAATAGTAGTAATACTTTTTGTTAAATAGAATCTACATCATAGAGTAAAAGGGAAAATATATAGAAATTCATTCAGTAGAGTTTCATTCAGAACTGGAAATAATAGAAATATGCCAATAAATCATTGTTAATTGATGTAATTAAAAACATAAATAAAAATAATTAAGAAAGTCGACTTTCCCTTCGAAGAATTTCATGATTAAATGACAGATTAACAGCTGAACGCAAACACTTTTTATTTTATTATATTGCCACACTTATACTTATAAAATAGTTTGTAGAGAAAAAGGAAAACCTCGTATTACCATTCCTACCTTTCAATTCCACTACCGCTAGAAAACTTCTGAGATTTCACATATAAATATATATTACATACAATATAAATACACATATATAGAAAAGAAAAAGAAAATAAATCTTTGGTATATATGGCTATAGAAGAATGACTAAAATTGTAGGAATAATGACTAGATTCAATATGTAAAGTTGTGTCTTGGAAAAACTGCTGTTGCCCTCAGGTCGTCCGGATCGTGCAAATTACGGTAGCGCCTTGTCCATGCGAGACCTACTAACTGAAAGTTAAAACATTTATGAGCGTATTTCATAACAGTAAATTTTTTTCTGAATAATTCATAATATTCAATTTCATTCATTATTCATATTCAATATTTTTCATATAATTATTATAGTTAGCATAGCACTAAACTTTCGCGTAAGATCTGATTACTAAATATACAGCTTGGCAACACTGTGTTCGATCGAATATTACAGCACAAATTAATAATTTAATCGCCACATAGTAAATAATTTTATAGTAGAAGCCACAGTTAGAATGCAATGTTGGTCTGACAGCGCGAAGCACAACCTCTCTCTTGATACAAAGGTAAGAATGCTGCGATGCTACGTCTTGTCTGTCCCTTTTTATAGTGTTTAATCGTAGACCTTGAACGAAGATATGTGAAGAAAACTAGAAGCATTTGAGATGTGGCTATATCGGAGAATACTTAATCTCCCGAGTCACAAAGAAGGAGGTCCTCAGAAGAATGACCGAGAGATACTCATCATCACAGTCATTAACATCTTAGTAGATGTGTTGTGGTTCATAATTGGGCTTCAGCAGCTCGGACAGTTTGATTGATAATATTTCTCCACTGGTCGCGGTCATCAGTTATATGTATTGCCTCAGTATACTGTTTATTGAGAAGCTTTTTAGTAATGTCCGCCCATCGCTGTGGAGATCTTCCGCGTTGGCGTTGAGTCTGAGGCCTTCCTTGGACCACCAACCGCTCCATTTTGTGATCACTTCGATGGATATGGCCAAAGAACTTTAAAATTCTAGAGTAAACGGTACTGGAGAGACGCTGATCCGGTTTAATTTCATCCAGAACCGAGATATTTGTACGGCGAGCCGTCCATGGAATTCGAAGCAGGCGTCTCCATGTCCACATTTCAAAGGCGTCTATACGTCGTCGATCTGATTCTTTGACTGTCCATGTCTCGCATGCATAGTAAAATATGGAGAAGACCAGAGTTGAAACGAGTCTCTTTTTGTTTGTCATAGTAATGTGACGATCACGCCAGACCCCGTTTAGTTCACTCATTGCTGCTCTTGCTAGTTGAATGCGTCTTCTAATTTCGGATTCACAACTGCCTGTGTTGTTAACTAGAGCTCCAAGATATATCATAGATGAGACTACCTCGCATCCCGCAATAGTTTGGGTTTCAGGAAACTGTTGTTGGCGATCAATAACCATGATTTTGGTTTTGTTGTAGTTAATCATGAGTCAAAATTTAGCACTTTCTACCTCGAGTTTTTTTAATAATTTAATAATTTCTTCTGGAGTAGAGGCTAGAAGTGTGGTGTCGTCTGCGAAACGCAAGTTAGATATCTTAACACCACCTAGGTTTACTCCTCCCTCCCAACCATCCAAAACTCTGCGCATTATGAACTCCGAATAGATGTTAAATAATAAGGGAGATAAAACGCATCCTTGGCGTACTCCCTTCTCCAAAGTGCATTTGTCAGACAGATATCCGTCCATTCGAATATATGCCAGGTTATCTTGATACAGTTTGCTAATAAAGTGAGTCAAATGTTTAGGTACACCCATTGTCGTCAATATGTTCCATAGTTTGTCCCATCTAATATTATCAAAGGCCTTTGTATAATCGACGAAACATATAAATATCGGGATCTGGTATTCTCTGGCTTTTTCTATGATGTTTCGTACATTAAGGATTTGTTCTCTAGTACCTCTGCCCTTTACAAATCCAGCCTGCTCAGGTGCTATTTGCCAACTTATGAAGTTTTCTAGACGCCGTTGCAGTATGTAGAGCCTCACCTTACTGGCGCGTGATATTAGAGCTAATAGCCTGTAGTTGTTACAATTATTTGTTGAACCTTTCTTATGAAGAGGTATGATTATGGTCTTTCTCCAATCCTCTAGAGATACTAACCACTATCAAATCTCGAAAGTTACAATTCTTCGGAGATATGCGAAATGAATCCAGATATGTTCTCCTTCAAGACATCCTGCAAGGAAAAATATTTGGAAAACGAAGTCCAAGAAGAACAAGAACATCTTGTAGCATTTACAAATCGTTTGATATATAAATTCTTTGAAATATATTGAAATCTCCTCGTATATGTATTAAATTGAAATCCCGTCATATAACTATGTATTAAAATAACGAAGATTATTTTCCCATGTTTCTTAGTTCGTATCTTTCAATTTAAAACCCAAATATTTCGTTCTTTTCAGCGTCGCCAAGTAATAAAAACCATTTTAGAGTTGTTTATTTATTTCGTGGCTGCGTATTTTCCAGTCGATAATTCTTTGACTTAAGCCGTCCGATGTACTACGTTTTCAAATTATTAATCTACGTCTTAATTTTCGTTGTGTTTTGTTTATTTCAAGTGCTTTGTTTATTCTAACTTCTATGAATTAATTTTGAGGATAATTAGATTACTCTCGTTGGAGCTGCGATCAAGAGCGGTTCAGCGTTATGTCCAAATTCATGTCGAATTTGTAAAATTTTCTGTTTTTTGCCCCTTTTTATAGAAAATGTGTAGCAGTGTGAAGTTAATGGTTCAGTTAATGTTTTGAGTGAGGATTGGAAGAATCGTCGTTTCCATCCTCGTTTTGCTTCTCCCTGGCTATCATCCAAGGCTTTTGGCAGTATGGAGATAGATTTGTTCGTGTGTTCGTTGCACAGAGAGTGAAGCCTAGGTCTACCCCAAGTTATGGTTTTAGAAATTCCAGTGACGTCCAGTTACAGAAAATCCAAAGTGTTTTAATGAAAATCCACGTAACATTTTGTTCAAATTTTAAAGTAAAGACAGACAATTTTTGTTTATAAAATAATAATTGCTTTCGTTAAAATTTAAAAATTGTTATATTTAAAATGGTAAAGTAGCCTCGTATTTCCGTAAGACTGTGCAAAAATATATGTATCTGTAATAAAATCATTCAATAAAAAAGAACTCTACCAGGAGTCTGTAAACTTATCAATGACTCAGACGTATAATAATACAAAGTTTTAAGATTCCACTCGATATTAACATTCAGACGTGCCTGGTATAATCTTTTAAAACATGAACAGTCAATCAGTTAAGTTTTCATCGAACTTCAGGTTAGGTCATAAAATAAGGCACGGGACGGGGAATACTTAGGTAGGCAAATTTTTATATTTTATTTTTAAATTGCGGATATGACCAACAGATTTTTGGGAGACTAGAATATTTTTAGTATAATCATAACTGCTACAGCTTTCAGTTAAATTCAAATTTCAAATAAAGAACCGCAAGTTAATTTGGTAGTACCTTTTTTCATACGTTTCATGATACGTTTTTACGTGATTCTGTTTTTATACGTTTGATACTTTTAAAATATTATTGCGTCCGTAGTGCGATAATAATTCTGTAGCTAAAGAGACAATGGAACCCTCTAATCGATTGGAAGATTTACAAAGGCGTGTAGTAAAAACGTAAGCGACATTTTCAATACCTTTCTGATGATGCCAAACGTATGCTAAAAATGTTATGGAGTTGAGGATAAGGACTGTGTGCTGAATTGTCTAAATCAGAGGCACATTGTAGAAACATATTTTTTAACCAAAGTGCCCAAAGCAACCTACTACAAAATTATAGGAGACACATTTTCTAGACAGAAGAGAAAGGATTGTGGCAAATTCAGAAAAATAGAACGGCACTTAATTGAATCTATAACTAGAACAATATACCAATGTATGCTAATAATTTCCAACTATGAAAGCTTTCGAAGTGAATTAGTTCGAAAGGGCATTCTCTCGTGTTCAGCAAAACACTTCGATTATTTCTTAAAGCCAATAATTTTAAGTACAAAACTATAGACAAAAGACAGACATGTTGGAAGTACTAGAATAATTCTTTAAGAAACAATTATATCAGACAGATAACTGAGTATCGAAAAATGAAACGAAATATTGTTTATTTAGATGAGATCTGGTATGATACTCATGCCACCGTGAAAAAAGTTGGACAAATAATAACAAATGGTGTTTCAACTCAGAACAGCCCAATAAAGGAAAGAGATGATTATAATTTTACACTGCGGTGGAGAAAATGGATTGGTCGGCGATGCATTATTAATATCTGCAAAACAAATTAAAAACGGTATCTCTCTGGATTATCATGACGATATGGAAAAGTTCAATTTTTGAATCACGGTTTGAAAAATCTCTTCTTCCGAAATTACCTAGAGATAGTGTGATTGTCATGGACAACGCATCATATCATTCAAGATTAATGAAAAAAACTCCAAATAATAGTTGGAATATATTACAAATTCAGGAATTTTTATTCACGGAAGATTTGTATTTTGAGGCATCTTATATTAAAAAGCAATTGTTGGAGGTTGCTCATAGTAAACAGTACGAAAAGGAATATGTTGTTGACAACTGTGCTCGTAGTAACGGGCATACTGTGCTTAGATTTTCTCCTTATTATTGTACATTGAACCCAATGGAGTTAATATGGGCTCAACTTAATGGAAATATAAGAAGAAACGTTGCTCCAAAATTTTTGTCTACTGTTCTCCAGTTAATTAGAAGAGAAGTCACAAAAATCACAGCAACCAACTGGAAAATGTAATAAAACATGTGATGTCAGTGGAAAATAACTATGTTAAATATTTACCAGCATTAACCAATTAACTATAAATTTAGATGATACGAGTGATACTGGTGATAACAGTGACTTTGAGTAGATAGTAAGTACTTATTAGGTGTTAGTTTCCTTTATTTCTATTTTAATTGTAGATATTCTTATTTTGCTTATATATCTTTCAAAACATAAAACACACTTCTTGACAGGACAAAAACAGCGTTGCTATTTTACTAGTATTTTACTTGCTCTGGCCCTATAAATTTTCTCACGAAATTACGTGCCGACTATAAATTTTAGGTTTGGAGTTTAGCTGTAATTTAAATTTTTCTGTTTTACATTTAAAGTTTACATAAGACAGCTCGCTTTATTATTTTTGATTTTCCTTTGTTTTGTTTAAAAAAAAAGGTTAACCTCTGTGCCGTAACATTTGTAAGATTTTTGTAGTATCTCCAACTCCTAGAGTTTGTAAATGGATGACATGTAAGTTTTTTGTATTTTGCGACTATTGAGGTAATATTTTTGTATTGCCTTTTTTGAGTATTCTTGTATTCTCTATGTTTTGTAACTGTGGTAAGACACAATAATACATAACAATAATTATTTCCCTAGTTACAACTAGTAGTTGTAATAGGTATAATTAGGCACCTTAAAGTGAGGCCCTATATTAAATTACTAGAGGTGTTTCCTGTTTCTTTTTGCTTTGTTTATCCCAAGAGATTCATGACCTTTTGTTTCATATTTTTGTAGTTGCCTCAATCCACCCCCTTATCTTTTACTTATCCACGACCCCAGCTCTCCTAACAAACCCTGAGTGCCGTTCGCACAAGTAGCGTTTATTTTGCTGGCCCTATCTTTACCCCCATAATCTTACCCCGAGGTAGGCAAAATATATTCGCTACAATTTTGGTTAAAGAACCTCAGAATCTGATTCAATACAACATCTGTGTAGCTTTTCCGCGCTGCAGCAGATAAGATAAAGACTGCCATGATGATCGCCAACATTCGTGACGGATAGACACATCAAGAAGACTGTCCTGATCGTCTCCCTGTCTGCCCCTGCTAGGGGCAAACCGGCAACGTGGTCTGCCGTTCTCCCGTAAGAAATACACTGCCTATCTTACCTAAGCTGAATTCTAACTGTGGCTTCTACTATAGGATATACGATTTCACTTTCTTAAGTGTCTTTCCAAAATCTAATTCACTTTCTACTGATATTTGTGACTACTAATCTCGGCATATAATGACTCCAATCGAGGTCACATTTGGCAAATAAGAATAGCCATATACATAGTCTATTGGTTTCTTTTATTTAATTTGCCGATTTAAGTTGCCACCATATACAAAGTTTTAATTCATCTGTGCCTGTGCTAAAATAATTTTAGAAGGGTTAAATTCAAATTAATAGATTTAAAAAAGGCACCTATGCTTAAAGACTTTTCATGCATTTTCGTGTTACTACTACAAAGAGTCATGCAAATTGTACAATCATGCAATATTTTATAGCTTACCTTAATACCTGCTGTCTAAAATGCAAAAACAATGTCAAAGTTTGTTTTCATTTGGAATACATACACAAATATATGAGGATATACATAAACAGGTAACATTCTATACATTCTAGGGAGAATTTACAACTCAATAAGGTTTTTTTCGTGACTGTAAGAAATAGTTTTCAAATAATACTTTTATTAGCTTTTACAGAAAAGTTCCGTTTTACAAAAAGGGCACAGTAACATTGTAGTTATCGCTGGGAGGATTTAACTAAACAATTATCTACATCAATGACTAAGAGGTATAACCCTAAAATAATTCAGGCCTACGCTCCAATAAGTTCTGATAACGATGAACTGGATATATTCTACAAAGATATTGCAATAATTCAAAAGTTTAAAGTGCACTATTTGACGACTTTAACGCGAATATATGAGTAACAAACGACGAAGAATTACCCATGGGTTGCCACGAAAAAGGTATAAAGAACGAAAGAGGCACACGACTGTTGTAGTTCGCATGGAACATAACCATTTCATGATCAATAATGAAAAATTGACGACACAAAATGTTGTCAACCATGAAAAAATGTTCTCAACCATGGAAAAAACGGTATTTCCTTTAATGTACCGCCAGATGTGACAGATGAACAGATCCTCTTCTTCTTTTCGTCTGCTAAGTCGTCTTCTTTTCATCTCGTGACGTTTCGTCTTCTTTTCGACATTATCATTTTTAACTAAGGAAACATTAACTATTATTTATTACTCTGCTTAATTTTCTAGACTTTAGACATTTTAAATACTTATATAGGGTATATTGCTATAATTTTTTTGAGTTGTGAATTCTCCCCAATTGTAAATTAGTTGATATTGATTATAAACACCCACCCATTTGCATTGAGTTGTTGCACTAGAGAAAAGCACTGGGATTAGCTCGAGGATCTTTCTGATTACGATAACGTACAGTTAGTAGCACTCCCATAAACTGAAACACATGCAAAACATTACACCATGGAATTGATCTGTAAATTGTTCGATCGTTAAGTCATTCTATTTCACATAAAATTTGTTAAGGACACACAACAGCTATTACAAAATTGATATTGTGGGTTATGATTATTCTTTGTTGATAAGACAACTATATGCATTTAGACCGCTAGAATATATGAAAATGATGATACATTTTTCTGAAAAATACTGAGTTCCTTATCGCAGGACATACACATATGGAATGTGACACTGACCATTCCATGATAGAGAGAACTAAAAAGAGATATACAACCTTAATAAATTATCCCTATGACTATATGCAACTAGTGAGACAAACAGGAAAGTCAAAACCATTTGCGGTAAAAAAAATGAAAAGGGAAGACTTTTATGATTATGCTTCGCTGTTTAAAACTTCTTAACAGCAAAAGAAAGTGAACAAAAAAATTACCAAATTGTAATAATTCTGTCTTGTAAGAAATTTAATTGCAAAACATTTTTGTCTTCGCAAGATGTTTCTAAAATGGACAGCTGTCGATATGTAGCAACGAAAAGAAGAAAAAAATTGATTTTTTCTAACTTTTTTCGCAAATCGTTTAATAAAAATTTTATCCCACCTTTTGAAATGTCCGCATAGTGAAATTATCATTTCTAATAATATTTCGAAGCGATTAAGCGCAAAAAAAGAAACATTGAGTTGAAAAACAGTTAATCAAAACCAAAACAAATACCGCCTATTATAGTCTGAAATGTGAAAGTTTATTAATATCACATGCAATCAATGGAATTGTTATTAAGAAAGATCTTGATGCATATAGTCTACAATTTGGAAACTATGTTATTTGTGTGTTGTGTGACCTATAACGAAATGAAATATATATTAATGTACAGACAAAACACCACATTACAAAAATAAATGTTAGTTTTCAATTAATTTTACACAGTTTAATTCAAAATCAAAAAATATATTACAGTTAATAAAAATACTACTCTGTTTTTTGGAGAATTTTTAGAATATAAATGTGAGATTATGTTTGTATAATAAAATTTATTACATTTAAATAAATAAATTATTTATCTTACTAATACAAATATTTGTAGACATATTAAACAGAAGCTTTAAAAAATTTAAATAAGAGAATGGTAGCTTATATTAACCTATAATATTATAAACACAATAAAAAATGTCTTAAAAATAATATATAGGGTGATTCTTAATGAAAAAATTTTCAAGATAAATATAAAAAATAATTTATTTCTTTTCTGAGTTACCTATCCTGTGCTGTGATTAATTTTGTCACAATGTGCTTATTAATGTTTTCACCTATACTGTCTACGCAATAAGTATGACTGAAGATATATCGATAGATTGTTTGGTTCAAAAGTGACTAAAAAAATCAGCCAAAATATTTATTTCCTCAAACCAACTAAGCTACAACGAAAGCTCAAATGTACAACAGAGATGCTTTTGAAGATTTTGTTGAAGAATTTCAAAATGTTGCTGTTCATTATGATGTCTTTTGCAGAACTATTTATCGCATTGTAGATGTTAGAGAAACGGGAAGCGTAACTCAAGCCAGGAACAGCAGGTGAACTGAAGAAAACATCAAACTCATCAGAACAGTTATTGTAGATCAACCACATACATCAATTTAATCATTTAGACAACAGGTAGATTTTTTGTATGCAAGGTATTCATATTATTCAACAAGATTTACATTTTCATCTATATCAAAGGAAAGTATTAGGGTATTTCACCCTAAAAGGGATCTTCGGAGCGGCTATTCACAAGCAGTCTGAATGTGAAAATAATATTTTCTGTCATAATAGAAGCGGCTTCGATCTGGACTCAAAAGCGACACCTGATAAATTAATCCAAAGTGATTTTCGAAACCAAATTCAGATTTCTGCTTTAATCTGTGCCTTCTAAGGGACATGGGGAATCTAAAATTTGCATTTCACCACATATCTCCTCAACTAAGCATAAATCCTTAGTGAATTGGTTTCTTGTACTCATACAGAGTATATCGGAATAAAAGGAAAGACAGTTAATATTTCATTTCACATATAGTGCGTCTGTTTCACTATATGTAAAATTAGTGCAATTCTTAGAAGGCACATATTAAAGCAGAAATCTGAATTTGGTTTCGAAAATCAGTTTACTGATTTATTCATCTGTATCATTTACAAGCCTTCCATAAAATAACCCTAAACAACTATCCCCTTCTGTAATTGGTTTCTCTCTCAATAATAATGATGATACAATAGGCAAAACCTTTTTTACTGACAAATGTTCCTTTTATCTTTCTAGGTACACAAATTCTCGGAATAGCAGATGTGTAGTGCAGATAACCCTCATTAATTTATTGAAACACCTTTTATCTACAGAAACTTAGAGTTTAGGATGCTATAAGCATGCGCATATTGTAGGACACATATTTTACGAATGGATTCTAAATGATGAGAGATACTGTCATGAAATTTCAACTCCATTGATACAATACCACAAAATTTGAACTTTATTATGGACTTTTTTGATAATAGGGTCATAAGTTTAAATACGCCTATCAAATTCCACCCTCGATCCTGTGATTTGACTGCCTGCGATTTCTAACTGTGGCCACACTTAAAACAATCAATTTGTAAAACACCTCTAGCGGATTTGGAAGATCTTAGACAAAGAATAGAATCATATTGAAGAATTAAATAATAGGGCGTGGGTACTAAACAATGTTATAGACTCAATGAGAAGAAGAGTTGTTTTATGTAGAGATATTGGTGGTCGACATATGCAGCATATTCTTTTATTTTATTTATTATTGTTACTGACAATTTTTTTAATTCTTTAAGTACTGTGTTAAAGGTTTTGGCTGATTTTTTTATATTTTATAATATTAATCAAAATTAATTTACTTTTAAACCAATGATACAGATTCAGATTAAAACAAGACATATGTAATTTTTTGCTCAGATAGCTTTAATGAAAATTATTGTGGATCACTAGTTATCTAAGTTGCATACTAGGATAGATAAATCAGAAAAAAGTATTAACCTAACATTTATTAGTTGTTCTCATATTTTGACACCTTTTTAGTTATGCTTCAATTTATAAACCCCAACTAAAATACTACCTTTGCCTCCCAGTCACCAAACTAATACAAAACAGTCTATTATTACACAAAAAAAGATTTTTTTATAAACAATACTTCCTATAAAATGATACCTTTGGTCATATTTGCAAAAATAAAATTTTAAATAATAAAAAGTTAAACAAAAGTACTTACCTCAGAGAAACTGAAGAACAAACCTATCCATCCACATAGCTTAAATGCATAGTTTATAGTGTTCTGTACTTTTTCAACACACTTAGAACACTGACATTCCGTTATGGCTGGATCTGGACAAACTCTATCCTAAATAGAATGAAATATGAATAAATATACTAAGTTTATACACTGATAAGGGCAAGTAATGCAAGAATATCTTCAAAAATTCTACATAAATAAGTTGCTAGTCCAAATTGTGCCATGTATATTGTAAAATATGCCCTGGGTCATATAAAAAGGGTCATCTTATCCCATCAGGGAAAATCCCATCAGTGAAAATAATATCAGTGAAAAAAAAAATCAATTTATTCTTCACAATTTATGAAGAAGGTTGTATTTATATATATATACTTACCTTAATAGCTTGAAAATCTGGTGGTGGGTAATGAAGATCAACTTTGTCATCAAATCCACAACAACTGAATACTTTCTGTACATTACTTCTGGTATTATTGTTTACCCTTTTCCAACCTTCTTCTGCTAACCTGGTTTGTTGTTCATTATTTACACCAAGACATGCACAAGCAACTGAAAACTGGATAAGGAACAACAAAAAGAGGATTACCATGTACTAAAGGTAAGTTAAGGAAATGAAATTTCTTGAAATGTTTTCTTAAATGCTAAACATACTGTACAAAGATTGATGTTGATGTTTTTGTTGGTAAATCTGAATTACCTAAGCAAAAATGGCCTGATTCAAATTTAAATCATCTATCTACATTCTCCTTATGTTTAATAAAAATCATAAGGTATTCTATCTGATAATTTTACTATAAACAAACCTTTTGTTGATATGATTTAAATAGATTATTTATCTTTAGGTATATATTTATCAAACAAAAATATACCATTATAACTAGTGTTAGAAATGTAAAAAATAAACGTTAATTATCAAGACCGTTCAACCTTCAAAGGTATCTTAAGAAATATGTGGGTTGATTAAAGATAAACTTTTACTTCCTGTTCTTTGAAAAGGATACGAAAAACAACATGACCTGATGATGTTTGACTGCACCAAGCAACCCTAGGACCGATATTAACATTAATATTATTCCACATGCTAAAATACCTCCGACAATCGGTAAATCTGTATCTAAAATAGTAGCTTCTCGGCCATAAACAGCAACCCCTATCAATATACACGCGACAACCTGAAAGAGAGAAAAACAATTATTTATGAGTAAATGTGTGAATTAAAATTTAATTTTCTTACAATGTATAGGACGTTGAGCGCAATAAGGGCATTTTTAGAACAAGTAAAACCTCCGCACATCTTAAAAGCATTTGTTGTCTATACTGTGGCATAAATTTGAGTTTCACTGGTGACAACTTTCCTTTCAAAACTGACAGTATATTTGCCGATTATAGTTTTTGACAGTTACACAGATGATCTAGTAGATCTAGTATTGTTTTGTCACCATATAAGTATCAAAGCCACCGATGTAATCATTCAAAAAATAGTTATATACAGAAATGAAATCAAATAGAAAATTCTTAAACCTCTGTCATGCTTCTTAATATGATTACATAGGGTAGAAATTTATTACATACATGATTCTACCACAGAAGTTGTGATTAGTATTCTGTGATTCTACTTTAAACTATTAGTTATCCAAAAATGTATGCAACTAGTTTTACTGTTTGTATAATAAATTGCCTAATTTAAACGTTGTATTTTAATTTATGTTGTGTCAATTGTCGATTAAATTCATTACACACGTGGGTTAAGTATAAAATTTGATTTAATTTTTCTAAGTTAAATAAAATGACTAAAACTCGAGCAGCAGAAGTTTTATCTTTGGAAAAATCAAAACAAAAAGAAGTTGTCAAAGAAACAAAACAAATTAAAAAGAAAATAAAGGTACGTGTTGTATATATATTCAAATATATTTTTACTAACCTCTATTTTTAACAGGATGGAACTATCACAGTTAAAGGTACAAAGAAAGCTCTAATTTCTGACCAAGAAAAAAAAAGAGGTCTTATATTTATATCCCACTTGCCCCATGGTTTCTATGAAGATGAACTTAAGAAATACTTCACACAATTTGGAAAAGTTAGCAATGTTATAGTTTGTAGGTCTGGCAAGACAGGGAACAGCAAAGGGTATGGCTATGTTGAGTTTTTGAACCCAGAAGTAGCCAAGATTGCTGCAGAAACTATGAACAACTATTTAATGTTTAAAAAAAGGATAACAGGTTGGTGCTTTAAATTAAATATTCTGATTTATTATGTAAATATTCAAATTATGTATACATTGCTTGAATAGTTTATTATATTTTATACATAAAACATTGATGTGCAATTACTGTGTAATTAGTATTAACTATTTTTATAGATTTCTCACATGGTTAATCTTGTTTCAGCTAATTTTGTGGCACCTGAAAAGCGACCAAAGGGATTATTTATGGGCAGACCTAACACAATTACGAGGTATTCCACGAAAGTTAGGAGGGAAAAACAATATCAGGTTAATATAAAGTTGAACCCCAAAAATCATGCTAAAAGAACAGCAAATAGACTGACAAAAATAAATAAAAAACTGGAGTGGCTTAAAAATGCTGGAGTAGAAACTTCATTTACACCTGCAAATCTAGAAATTACACAGGAAAACAGTGTGCCTAGGGTCAGTAATACACATGAAGAACTTGAATTTGATTCAGATATAGAGCTCAAGATACCAGTTAAAAAATCTAAAAGTGCAGTTACTACTAGTAAAAATTCGCCAAAAGTACTTTCCAGTAAAGCTAGTAAATCAAATAAAAAATTAAACAAGTCTGTATTGTCAGAGTCTGAAAAAACTCCATTAATTAAAAAAAAATTAAGTAAACCCAGCAAAACTAATACAAAAGAAGGAGATAGTCCACCTGCGGATAAGATGAAAAAGAAGAATAAATTATCTAAAGGTATCACCAAAAAATCTAAAAAGCCTGAACCAATTAACACACAAACTGTAAAGAAGATTGCAAGAGAATTGATCAAGAAACGTGGAAGCTCATTATTGGGTCTACCTGTAGAAGTGTCTAATTCTAAAACTATAAAGAAAAAGCTATCAAAAAAATGATTGTAGGTAATTAGGATTTTGTTTTGCAGTCTTAAAAATATATTTTATGGAAATATCTGTTTTCTTATTTGTTAGAATTTCATCTGAAAAACTAATTCAGTTGCAAAATTGTGTAGTAAGTTTTCACTAAATATCTTTTTATTGGCATTTTGATATTGAAACAGTGTTTTTAAGCATAATTAAATTGAACCTCTTAATGACTAATGTTACATACTTGTGATTAATAACTTTGTATTATTTTAATGGAACATTTCTATGGATTTTATAAATTCGGATCACCTTTGAGTCAGAATAAAGATGGAACAAATGATTTCTTCAAACTGTACACCAAAAAGTAATCTAAAGAAAAGTTATTATTGTATAGAGCTACAAAAGGAGTAAACCAGAAATAAATGTATATAACAAATAGGACTAACAACCCAAGACTAATGAAGGAAATAGGAGACAGATGGATGCAAATAAATCATTTAATACTGAGTATGGCTCAATTGACGATAGTACCAATAGACAAAAGAACAAAGCACAAGGATTAGTTCAATGAGTACTGTTGCAAAACAGTAGAACTGGTGAAACAGGTTTAGAATAAATCACATGAAGATAAATAGTATTAACAGAAAAAGTTGTATGACCACAAAAGGAATAGCAGAAACTTCTATCAATAGGTAAAAAATGAAAGAAAACATAAAGTTAACATAATATATGAAACATTGAAAATTTATAGGAGCGATAGATGAAAAGGTGGACCAGATATTTTGAAAATGTATTAAATGCAGAACATGGAATTTGAGAACATCAGGAGAAACATAAATACGAATATGAATACTTAATATGTTATTGCAATTCACGAGGTGGACAAGTAGTGATGGGTTTCATAATTAGTGAAAGATACAATCATGCAGTAAACAGTTTTATAACATTAATGAAAGGATAGCTATTTTATAAATGAAAGGAACATCTTTTGACATAAATCATGTGAACATGCACATACCTACAGAGGACAAAGAAACAGAGGAAAAGGAAAATGTTTATGCAAGATTAGATGAAGAAGTGTCAAAGATATCTTTAGGAAATTTAAAGGCAAAAAAAGGAAGAGATATAAAAACAAAAAATCAGATAGGCCACATCGCAATAGAAGCAAGACATGCTTCAGACATTTCAGATGGGCAAATAGCAATTCCGATCACCACCTTGTGCTAATTAAATAGAAATAAAAAATTAACGTCAAGGAAACAGAGAAAGGCGAAAAAAGATTAAATATGCTTTAGATATAAATTGGCCTGTAATAATAAAAAAAGAGCAAGATATGAAACAAACATAGAATACATTATTGAACGATGTAATAAATAAATGAAAATCAGGTCAGAAATATCGAAGATAAATGAAAAGTTTTAAAAGAAGCAGTTATAACAGCTGCAAACAAAGTAGTGGGGAAGAACCTAGTCCAAAAAGATGGTGTGACAAAAACTGTCAGAGATTAAGGGAACAAAAATATCAAGCTAGGCTTGACATAAGAGGGGAGTTAGCAAAACATTAGAATGATACAATCTACTAAACATTGGATACAAATTTTAGAAGGAAAGCTAAACAATATAACGGAACAAATAACAGGGGATTATCACGGAGGATTCAGAAAAGGTAGGTTAACTATAGACCAATTATTTACAGTAAGGCAAACGCTGGAAAATTCTACGAACGATATACAGACTGCATCATCTTTTTGTAGATTTCAAACAAGCGTATTACTCAATAATTAGAGAGGAATTAAATTTTAGGCCGTATTTGTTACATGCTTCTACAACGTTATCCATCATCCCTTGGATCCCCTTAGAAAGAGTGGAAAAAAGAGTGGGCTGCGATATTAAGGATACATACTTGGGATCACAGCTACGAAATAAAAACTCGTAAAAGCCATAAGTTCTTTCAATGGTATTATGAAGATTCTTTGCAACTTATCTTTAAGTATAATATACGCATAAGAATTCTTAGATGTTACGTATTTAGTGTCCTCTATGGAGTAGAAAGCTGGAGCCTTACAGAAAGATGCCATAAAACGATTAGATACATTTAAAATGTGGTGCTACCGAAGTATGTTGAGGGTTTAATATATACACCATATAAGTAACAAAACTATTCTCCTGAGGCTAAGAAAAGACAAAGAAATTAATAACACCATAAAAAACAGAAAATTGGTTTACTTCGGCCACATCATGCGTAATGATAAATACCGATTTCTACAGTTGATTCTACAAGGCAAAATTGAGGGAAAGAGAGGCTCGTAGACGTATATCCTGGCTAGCCAATCTTAGGAAGTGGACTGGTCTAACGTCAGTTCATCTATTTCGAGCTGCTGTGAATAGAATAAGATGGGTCAATGTGGTCGCCAATATCTCTAGAAGATAGGCACATTTAGAAGAAGATTTAAATGTGCCAAAAAAAAACTAATCAGATTAGGAAAGCTATGCCTAACAAAAATCAAAGCAAAACTAAGAATCCAAAATCAATTATTCGATGAATTTAATTTTAACGAAGGTCTAACACAGGGAGATGCGTATCCACAACACTTTTTAACCTTGCGTTGGAACAAGTTATCAATAAAACTTCTATAGATGGGGAAGATACAATATTTACAAAGATCAAACAAGTTTTTGATCTGCAATCGCTAAGCTCTTAGACTATCTCATAGCAAAGCAACTTTCTTGCTTATCTAAAGGCTTAATATTTCAATTACAATATGGTTTTCATAGCAAAAAATCCACTGCAACAAACTTGTTTTGCTATCAATCTGATATATTCTCTCATATGGAAGACCGTAAACAGGTAGATGAAATACAGACAGATTTTTCCAAAGCAAAAATTTGGTCTTATAGATTATTAAATACTTTTGGGCAAATTAATTAATGTAGGCTTTCATGCCATGTTTGTCCCCAAAACAACTTGGGAAAAGTACAAATGAAAGGCACTCATATATATCTTTGAGCGGGCAAAAATTTAAAAGAGTAGACCATTTCAATTATATTAAGTATATTATCATCTGCATGGAGAAAGTTGTCTATTTTAATCAGTTGTCTCTACAGGTACATGGTCATTCTAAAATTTGTATACACAAATTGTTACCTATTAACAAATCATTCATTTAGATATATAGATAGACTATCTATTGTATATACCTATATATCTATGTTTTAATCTTTTTTATTTCCACTTCTTTTGCTGGTTCTTGCTTCTCATATCAAATTGAAACAACAATAAATATAAAACATTTAATAATAACTAATACATATATATTTTTATTTAATCTACTACCTATTACAAATTATGAAACTGATTTCAAATGTTTGCCTTTATTTTGCCTCTCTCCAGATTTATTTCTCTTCCACTTCATCCTTCTGTTTTGAAACCATACTTTAACCTAAAACAAAATTTTGAAATACAATAGTTATTTTAACGTAGTTTGGAGATCCTACAAAATATGGAATATCAATTATCTACTGAACTATATGAAAGCTTAGGCCGTTCGTCGCTATTCTGGGGATAGCTAAATTCCAATATAAAAGTTTAAATAAAAGAACGCATTAAATATGGACGATATTGAGATAATTCTTTTTTTAAATGATAGGTCTTAAAAAATTCTAGTGCACTAACTCTTAATAAATTAACAAATGCTTTAAACAATTTTTTTTCATTTTTTTTTGTTTAAAATTAATGTTAAAAAAATTTGAAAAGTTACGTCACCCTAGAATTTTTCCCACTTCCCGAATCTAAACTTTTTAAGAAACGCTCGAAGCTCTGCTAATCTCTCTAAAAAAATAAAAAAAATTTTTTTTTGATTTATGGAATTTTTCTAAATTTTTATAACTGCTTCTATAACAATACTACTGTTTCACTATTTGCTTATATAATAATAATGTATTATGCATACAAATGCACAACTTAAAATATAAATATTTTATTGTTGGTGGCGACAGCAGCTTGTACAAAAACTATGTGATGCCCAGCCGTACAACAATAACTTTTTAAAGGATTCCCCACACCGACGCGAAACTTTTGAGACGCGAATTTTTCGTTGCGGAACATTCCCAGACGGAGCGGTAGCGGACAAGGCTTCGCCACATTGGCGCGAAACCCGCGCGAACTTATATTTTTAGTCGTTTATTTGTAGCTTACAAATACATAATGACTTCGTCTGATGAAGAAGAAGCTCTTCTACTATTGGCACTTGCCGAAACTGAAAAAAAAATAGGTAGCTTCAGAAGCAGTAACTTGATACGGGACACATTCAGTATTGTTAGTATCGACACATATAGAGAAAAGTATTGGTGTTAATTGTGTATTGCTCCGAGAAGAACATCTAGTATTCGAATTGGAAGTGCAAAAGCCAGCTGCTTCTTGTTTTTGTTGAAACTCCAATTTATTTGAAACTCCAATTAAACTTTTTCTTATATTTTTATAATCTTCGTCCCTTAAATCATAAAGTTAGGATATTGTTTCACAATTTCAATTACTTTTTCTGTAACAGCCATTTTAATTCACGCGAAACTATAACTGCAGCGGAAAAAACCGTGCATGCAGCGTTACATGAAAACAACGCTGATCTGCCGCGACCGTTGCGGATTCCGCCCCAACTAGTCTGAACACCTGCATAAGTAGCCGTGCCTTACGATTCGTCGTGATTCCGCGTAAGTTGCGGCTGCGAAAGTTTCGCGTCGGCTTGGGAAATGCTTAATTGAGAAAATCAAGTGCAAAAACCATTTGTTACGCAATTTTGCCAATCGACTAAGTGTACACCTACATTGGAACCGTATTTCTCCCGATCCGACATCGGCCGACGTCGGATTGAAAACAAACTTAAGGTATTAACAGAGAACTAATTAATGCATAGTGCCTATACTGCAGTGGGAACCCCGATCAGATAACGGTCGGACTGAGTAGCTTCTCCTATCAAACATGTTTGGTTTCATTCCGATTTTTCGTTCCGACGAGAGCCAACTGGCAGAAATGGACAGAGAAATTTTGATTCATCCGGTGAGAAATGAGCCTCGTTGATGGGATTAGAAATTTTGATTGATTGGGTTGAGAAATACGGTTCCACTATAGGCATACCCTAAGTTTTTCTTCGGGGCTGATGCATTCTCTGAAGTTAGATTGGATAGTTAGATTTCTATTCTCATGCGGTGGTACTCTTTGAATTTATCAGGATAGTTACGTAAAGTTTGGAAAGTTTTATTAAATTATCCTGAAGATTGGTCTTCGTTAAATTTATGTATCCATGTACGTTTTCTTCTACGTCTTTTAAGAACGTTGTTTTCTAACAACAGCCAACACATTAAATGTTCATCGGAACTCATTGTCAATGGTCGGGCGTTAACTAAACGAGTATAGGCACTCACGTCGGACGACGTCGGATCAAAAAATCGATCTATATTGGATCGGATCGGGAGAAACACGGTTCCAATGTAGATGTACCCTTAGAGAACAATCCTCAAAAATACTGTTCTGTGGGAAAACCTATTCGTTTGCAAATAAGATCTGTAGTATAAAATAATACCTCGAAAACAATTCCAGTGACAACATAAATATACTTGGTATAAAACTAGACGTTGAAAACACTGCGTATCACGTGTTCGGCGATTAAAAAAATTGTGTCGCTTATTTTTGTAAAAAATAAATTTTGGACCAGGAAATTAATTATATTCCTGAAATGCAAAAGTGTGGTCGATATTACATCATTCAGTAATATGCCTAAATAGCATGGAACAAGTTTGATAAAAAGCGCCACCAATAATAACACCGAAAGCTTCATTTCTGTTATTCCAACATTTGTTGGAGTTGGAGGTAAACGTGTAATTCACACCGAGAGAAGTGGCTATCAGTTAAGGTCTTTGGCGGCAGCAGTACCCCATTATTCAGGGGGAAATTAGTTAACTAATATATTTATTATTATAGAAAATATATTAAAAAAAAAACAACAAGTAATAATAAACCTGATAAAGACTATGCCCTAAATGCAGAAGGGTTAATTCAGTTGTCGGATGAAGACTTCTAAGCAAAAAAAAACACGAATTTTTAAAAAAAGTTATAAAATAAAATCTCAGAAAGAACAGATTTTTAATAATACAACGGCTAGTAATTTCGGTAAAATATGTAAATTAATAAATAATATGCTAATTATAAATATTGCTAATTAACTAATATAATAAAAACTGTGGAAGCAATATTGAATTCAGCGTTTTGTGGAAATAGATCTACAGAATATGGAATTGCGAACGAATCCAAAGCAAAATAAATGTTAGAAACAATTTTAAATATTAATTTGAATTGAACTATCGGGAGATATCTGAACGACACTAGAATATTAGTTATTTAATAGATTTTATTTTTCGTACAGAATAAATTTCTTACAGAAATTTATTCATATTATATAATAAAAAAACAGGCTGTACCTAACACCCAAATATCACAAAACATTTAGCCGGAACTAACAACTAGTTAAAAAGGTTTCCAGAAAACTTAGGTCACTCCAGCGAAAACATGAAGAAAAATCTATCAGGATAAGATATTAAAACCATGGAAACTCGTTATCAAGGAAGATTGGACCGCCACATGATGGCTGACTATTGTTGATGTCAGCGAGGTTGTTCTATAAATGCTGCGAAGTTGTATAAAAGGAAATTATAATTACTTACTTGTCTTTCGGTTAAGTCCAGAGCTACAGCAATTTCATATCTCCTCAAACGAGTTAAATAATTTGAATGAACAAACTCTTTTTCTAGTTCCCTAATTTGGTTTTTTGTAAAGGCTGTTCTTTCTTTACGAGGTTTAGTGATAAAATCTGCATCTTTGATATCTAAAACAGTAGAAAAAAAATAATAAAATATAAACTTGTGCAGAATATATCATTCTAAAATAACCGCAAGTTGGCGTAACAAAAAAAGATGTAGATGGATTTACTCATGAAATAAGATAAATTAAATTATTCTTAATCCCCTAATCTGTCTATCCGGACAGAGGCAGGAGAATCCGACGACATCAAAATCAAACGTGGCGTCCGTCAGGGATGTATACTATCACCACTGCTGTTTAATATATACTCTGAGGAAATCTTTCAAGAAGCAGTGGGTGATGTTGAAGCCGGAATTCGAATCAACGGAGAATTAATCAATAACATTAGATACGCGGACGACACGGTAGTATTTGCTGACAGCTCTGAAGCCCTCCAGGAGTTAATGAACAGAATCACAGAGGTCAGTCAGAGATACGGACTTTCACTAAACACCAAGAAAACAAAATGCATGATGATCTCTAAGAAGGAACAGCAATTTGAACAAATCAGTGTAAACGGTCAACAAATAGAAAGAGTAAAAACATACACCTACCTTGGTACGAACGTCAATGAAAATTGGGACCATTCCATAGAAATCAAATGTAGAATAGAGAAAGCAAGATCTGCATTTCAAAAAATGGCCAAGTTATTCAAATGTCATGATTTATCAATGCCCATAAAAATCAGGTTACTACGATGTTATATCTTTCCTATACTGTTGTACGGAGTTGAGTCATGGACTCTCACAGACGCCACCTGCAAGAAAATTGAGGCTTTTGAAATGTGGCTTTATCGTCGCATCCTGAAGATATCGTACACCGACCACGTTACTAATGAGGGTGTTCTGTTGAGAATGAAAAAAGAAAAAGAGCTGTTAACCACAATAAAAACAGCTAAAATCGAATACCTCGGTCACATCATGAGGAACAGCGAAAGATATGGACTGCTGCAACTAATCTTGCAGGGAAAAGTAGAAGGAAAACGGGGACCAGGAAGGCGAAGGATTTCCTGGCTGAAAAATCTACGAACGTGGTTCAATACAACAACCACAAATCTTTTTAGAGCAGCAGTGTGTAAAGTGCAGATTGCTATGATGGTCGCCAACATCCGAAACGGATAGGCACTACAAGAAGAAGAAGAATCCCCTAATCACTTAAATGCATATTAACTAAAATCTTCATTCATAATATCAATCTCATGAATAAAAAAAGTAGGTGCGAAACGGTTATACATACGAGTACTATAGTATGTACTTTTCTCTTATTTTTGCATTAAATTTAGTTCGCAAATATTACCAAATTTTCTTTCGGATATGAAATTTTGAAACTACTGCAACTATCATTATTGGATTTCCTTTGATTTCTTTTTTTATGTAGCTACATTAAATATTAAAATTACAAATTTCTATCGATGCATTAATCGCAGTTTCATATATCAAACTCACACATCTCCTTGAAAATAATATAATAAAATTTTGCAATATTTTCATTCAGCTTTATTTGATGCGAAGCGTGGGATTTTTTAATATGCCGCTAATTGTGAAATCATCAAAGCGCCGCTCGATGTGCAACGAAATACTTCTGAGATCAGACATATCATATAATGAAGTCATTATTTCTAAATTAAGGAGATATAAAATTAGATATCCATAACAAATCGAATTTTAAAAAGCAAAAAATAATTAGGTAATAATTAGGAAAATTATCCTTCGTTAAATCAACATAAAACGTTGCATTTTTTATAGTTGTGTAAAACAAAACCAAATGAGACGATCTCACTGATCTGATCCAACACTAATAAGAAATAAAATAAGGACTAAGCACCGAACCTTGATGCACTCCTACTTTCTAGTTGTTTCTCTCTCAGGCATGTTTCTCACAATTTACATTTTCACTGGGACTCCTGTCTTATTCAGTGCTTACCACAGAATTTCTCGATGAACTTTATCATATGCTTTCTCAAGATCAAATAATACCGTATCCTTTTATCATTTTTAAATTACTTCTACCTTTTTTATTTAATATTTGGATTCTTCTCTTTGTACTGGTTTCAGAAATGTATAACACATGATGCTTAAGGTGCTTATGAGAAAAATAAATACAAAAGCAAGAAAACTGGATTGCAAAAATAATTATTTTTTTAACAGTTTCATTACAAACATTTAGAATGAACATTTCACTACCAAAAATTTTTACAATTATTGTTCGAAATGATGCCATTCACTTTCATACAATAGTACAATCCATTTTGAAATAATTCGTCTCTGACATTGCTTAACACGTCTGCATTTAATTATCGACATTCATTCTCTATTCTCTATCGTAAATCATCTAGAGATTCTGGTTGAGTAGCGTAAATTTTTGTTTTTAAATACCCCTATAAAAAGGAGTCTAGGGGTGTTAAATCCGGTGACCTAGGTGGCCAATCCATGATCTGTCCTTTTCTAGCTATCCAACAAGCGGGAAAAGTTTCGTTTTTAAAGATACTTCAAATAGTACGATTAAAAATTTAAAAGATTTAAATTATGCTACAACCTATTTTGTTACAGTCAATTAAGGTGAGAGAGATATTACTTGTTAAAAGAAAACTTGTCTACCTCATAAACTAATCACTTCAAGCCAAATGTATTATACATTTTTGAAATCAGTTCAAAGAGGAGAATCCAAATATCAAATAAAAAGGGTGGGAGTAATTTAAAAAATAAAGGATGATACGGGGGTGAGAGTGTGCATTTCCCAGCAACCTTAAACATGACATAATGTCTCCCCTTCAAATATTAATTTATGTGTTTTTACGCTTGTTCAAAAGTTATTTAAGGTGGATAGTTTCATCTGAAAAGCACTCTATAATTTTGCTTTAGATTTTGCTACTGCTTCTTTAGTTTCCTTAAATGATGGTGTCCTGAACTTAAATGTTGCCCCTTAAATATTACTTTTTCTTTTTGAGAATTTTAAATGCATCGATTTTGTTTAAAAATACTATTTTTGTTGTTTTACAACCAGTAATCTATATACGGACTAAAAAAAGAAGTAAGTGTTGTTTCACCCAATTAGAACTATTTAACTGGCTTTGTTTTGGGATAAATTCTAAGTTGATAATAAATTTTGAGAATAACACATTTAGTTGTAGAAATTATTATAAATTCTCGATAATAATATATCATGTTTATCACTCTGTTTTGCCTTTACAGTAACATTTTACTAATACATATGTATTAATCGTTCAATTTTTATTTCGTATTTCTCCATTAGTTATGTATTACCCTGTATAATTTTTCAAAATCAATTTGTCCAAAAGGGCTTCTTGTTTTTCTTGTCTCTTATTTATTAAATACAGTATTTTCCTTATAGGACCACACAGGTTGACAGCGCGTAAAATGACAAGGATCATCGCAAATTGGTAATAATATACATTTAATCGCCTTGTCAAACGCATCATTAGCATTTCACTAGATGCAGCACCAACAGATGCATCACTCCGCATAATATATCTTTTTCTTAAAACTTTCTTCGTGCCGTTAAATCCCCTGTTTTTACAAGGGTGTGATTTATTGGATTGTTGTGTGTGAATATCTTCTGAGGGATGAAGGTATCCAATGTTTTTTTAGGAGTCGTTTAATACACGTGTATCAACTTCCGAAATATTACAAATATTTTGTTGAGCTCATTTGTTTTATAGTCCAAAGAATTTTACAATTATATATTTCTGTGACGCACCCAGGGGGGTTTTGCGGGTTAAACCCTCCCCCAGGGCATGTAAAGTAAAAAATATATAAAGAATAGTACGAAAATGTAACTTGTTTTTCATAAATGAGAAGCAATTGTGGATTATAGCCCGGTCAAGTAAACTCAAAAATATGGGTAAGTTTACAAAAATTCGCATAGAGCTACAAATTGATACGAATGTTCAGGACCTCATTATAAATAAAATGTGAAAGTCCCCTGTTGACAGTGACGCTTAAAAACAACACAGCTAATGTTAGATTCAACGTAGAAATCTCCAAAGAGATTAAAATAAACAAATAAGTAAAGTAAGTAGATGCTATTTCCCCTACACCGTTTAATCTAATCCTAGAAGTAATAATCATAAAAGCAATACTGGATAATAAAAATATTATATCAACTCTTAATAATATAGCACTAATAAAAGCATTAGAAAAATTATAAAAGAAAGCAAAAATAATAGCTTTAAAAATAACAGAGCCGATTCTACAGTTACAAGTACCATAATTTGAGCGAGTGACTCATGTTTTAATGCTTTATTATATTCCAGTAAAATTGGAAGTTTACACTTTAGAAAAAAATATTTTTGTTGTTAGAATACCGACAACAGGAAACAAGTTAATTATTATTTAACTAAAAAAGTCGTGGATTATTGCAGAATCTGTTCAATCTCTTAAAAATTGACAAAAACCTTCTTCTGACTTCAAAAAATATACGTTTTGGAAAAGATTTGGGCTCTAGAGAAAATGTAACATTGTCTGGGTGTGTGATTCAACTCAATCTTATCTGCAATGTTTATATCTTTCTCTAGCGGAAGATAATGTCCTAGATCAACAATGTCGTCGCAGATTAAAGAATAAATCTAAATCTAAATCTAAAGAATAAAAGAAGGCATAAACAGAAATTTACTGAGAAACAAGAAATTAAGTAAAAACACTAAAATTAATCTGTACATAACGGTAATCAGACCAGTTGTTTCGTATGCTAAGAAAGCAATAAAGACAAATAAAAAAAAGGGAGGTCTGTTAATGTTAATAATGAGTGCATTACTAGGACCCAACATAACAAAAGAGGATAAAAAATACTTAAAATGAACATGGATATATAAAACGAACTAAAGGTAGAAAACAGATATCAAATTACTCCGCACAGATACTGAGAAGACCACATCAAGACATGCTTTGAAGAATAACCAATTGGATTCCATTATGGTCTAGAGGAAGAGGAAGACCGAGAAAAAGATGGATAGATGACATAAGAACCATAAAGATAGACCATAGAATATAAATATCAATGCAGGGAACAAAAAAAAATGGAAGCAGATCACTTCATAATCCCATGCGACTCCAAGACTATGATAATGATGTTGATTTTTTCGAAAAAAGGTAATTTTATAAAGAGTAATATTTTGTTAACCGTCAACAGAGATAAAATGTCAAACCTTTTTCCATTTTGCATTATAAATATTAAAATATTTAAACTTACCTCTTGAGTCGTCTGAATATGAATTAATATCCAAGTTTTCGTCTAAATATCCATCACTGTCGTTAGCATGTTGTCCTCCATTTTGATTATAATCATCGTTTCCTTTATATTGAAAATAATTATTCCCGTAATTCATATTTTCGTTAAAAAACATCCCGTCTCTATTGGCATCAATCCATTCTAAATTTCTCTGGACTATACACAGATATTCTTGTGGATGGTAATTTTGATTTCGATAATTTTCTTGTTCAGAAATGTTGGTATTGTTTACATCTACATATTGCTCTGAATATTCATTTTCATAGTATGGTGATGATTTCAGATAATTTACTGGATAACTATAATTTATTGTTAAATTCGAACTCACTGGAGTGTTCATACTGTGCGTTGGAGTGTTAAAAGGACATATTTGCTCCATTTCACTCTACAAATATTGTCTTTTGAGAAAAAATATATACCTAATAAAAGATTTTGTCGAACCTAATGTCGAATGTAACTGACACCAGCTAATTGGATTATCGACAACACAAGCAATTAATTTTGTAGTGAATTAGCAGGTATGCAGTCTGTTGTATATTTGTAAATAAAGTCATTTTTTCTTACATAAGAACAAAGAACACAAAAAGCATACATAAATTTAAAATCAAAAGTCCTTTCTGTGAATAGATTATTTAAACAATTTACTAATATAATAAAAATTGTTAAATGTTTTTAAATGTAAAAGACAAGACTCCAACTCTTCATGAGAGTAAGATAATCAACAAGTTGTTTTGTTTGGGTTGTGAGAGCTATTATGTCGGTCAAACTTCACAATGGTTCAAACAGAGACTAACACAACACAAAAGTGACAGTACAAAAAAGAAAACCATTATTTAAAATCTGGGCACCATTTTGACTACCTTGAAGCAAGAAAATAGTTACAAAAAAGAGTGTTTTTGGAAATGTGCCAGATCAATAAAGAAAAAGAGTCAATAAATTACAACGGAGATCACATGTATACAAATGATCAATAAAAGGTGATAATAATCTGTTTTTGTATTATTTGGGCTAATTTTCTTGTAGTAACGCAAAAAATATATAAATGCATAGGTACGCGTGACATCAAAAAAAATCAATAACGAATCTTTGGTGTATCAAAGTTGTATGTTAGTTTTATATCCCTATTTTTATAATAAAAAATATAACCTTCAATCATTTTTAAAATATTCTTTAGACATCAAGGTGTACTCAACTCTTTTGTTTAAAAACAAAATTATACTGAGTATACAAATACCAGAAAAATTATCAAATATTTTAGAGTTAATTTTATCTGTAAATACAAAATGTAACAGAACCTTGTGATAATGAACCAGCGAACTGAAATTATTGCATGATTTTCTAATAAATACTTTGAATTCTAAATGTATAAATAAATGATCAAAAAAGTAGATTAATATCAATAGATTAAATTTATCGCCAGAATTAACAAAAAAAAAATAGTAAAATTAGACATCTAATTAATTAAAGTCTAATTAGAAAGAAGAGATAGAACCAACTCGTAAATATTAAAGATTTAATTCAAATTTAAAATTAATTTTATTGCAGAAAAAAGAAGGTTTGTAGTAGGTATAGCTATAGCCAACCAAAGCAACCAAGAAAATGTCATAAAGCAAATAAGACGAAGAAAATGGAGATGGCTGGGCCACACACTCCGTAGACCGCCAAATGACATTGCCAGGACAGCGCTGGATTGGAATCCCCAAGGCCGACGGAAAGTAGGCAGATCTAAGGGAACTTGGAGAAGGACAGTACTGGACGAAGGGAGGAAAATGGGAAAATCCTGGCTTGAAATCAAAGCACTAGCCAGAAATAGAGTTCGCTGGAGACACTTTGTGGAAGCCCTATGTTCCTCTTAGGAATCTTGGGACTATATATATATATAATATATATATATAATATATATATATATATATATATATATATAAATATATCGGAAAAAGGAGTACGACCGTCAATCCAATATATATATATATATATATATATAAGGATCACTCAGAACGAGTGGTGGGTTCTTATATCGGTCTCTAGGTGGAGAAATAAAAGACAAAGTTGATAGGCTACTTTATCTATTTTGAAGACGTTTCGCTTTCGAGTTTTGAAAGCATCATCAGTTCATCTAAAAAATTATTACAATATGAGAACCACACAATCATGGAAACGATGTTAATTGTTACCTTAAAAGATATGTAGTAATAACATTGACTGCTACATATCTTTTTAAGGTAACAATTAACATCGTTTCCATGATTGTGTGGTTCTCATATTGTAATAATTTTTTAGATGAACTGATGATGCTTTCAAAACTCGAAAGCGAAACGTCTTCAAAATAGATAAAGTAGCCTATCAACTTTGTCTTTTATTTCTCCACCTAGAGACCGATATAAGAACCCACCACTCGTTCTGAGTGATCCTTATATATATAAATATATATATATAATATATATATATATATTATATATATATATATATAATATATAATATATATATATATATAGCTATAGCCAAATCGGGCAACTGGCCGAGAGCTTAATTGAGTAAATATTATGTTTATATGGGAATAAGCCTCAATTGATTATATTGACAATTATTTTACTAAAGAAATGGCGTTTCGATTTCTTTTCCGAAAATGGTCCTCAAAAAGATCTTTAAAATACCAGGGGGAATAGAAAGAATAGAATAAAAAGAAGAGAATACCAGGGAGAGTTTACACTAGGAAGAATAATATCATTGATCAAATAATTATATTTAGGATTAGACATGTTATTGATCGATTTTAAATAGGCATACGTCTTCACAAACCGAAGGATGCTTAATGAGGTATGATACCATTATAAATAAGGTTAAAAGGCTAGTGAGAATGACGCTTAGGATCACGAGAATTAGGTTAATAATGTAAGAAAGCTTTCCAAGGTAGATCACGGAATAGAGGTTTATAACAAGTTAATAGGCTATCAATGAGTTTACTCTACCTAGTATTAGAATAAATCGTAAGAAAATCAAATATGAGCACAAACAGGACTATTTTCAATAGCAGGGAACAGTGCATAGCGTATGCGGATGAAATGCTGAAATTAGCGAGAACGAAAAATATCAAGAAACAGTTTTTCCAGAATTTTGAAGCAAATGATGACAGACATATTTAAATAAAAAAGGGGCCGTCTTTAATTTTTAAAAAGTGACAGAATTTGAAGATTAACTATAACGAACATGAGAAAAGAAAGAAAAGAAATAAATAAAAGATTACTGCAGGGAAGCAGAGCGGTAGGGTCACTAAATTCAATACTAAAAGCAAAAAATGTGTTAAGAACAGCTAAATTACGATTCTACAAGACATTATGAGTATATTTCAGCAAAATGTAGATCCAGCAGAAAGAAAGGGTAGATATGTAGGAAAGTAAGTTGCCCAGAATAAAATTCCAAGTAATACAGACGACAGAAAATATTTGGAGAAGACAAACAAATAAAGAAATAATGAAAATGTACCAAAAAAACAATAATTATATATACAAACAAATAGTCACAATATATAAATCCCAGAGAACCGAAATTTTATATAAATACTGAAGAAGGCACAGTAAAGTAAAACTTGCCAGAAATAAGCGTGGGACATTGGAGAGAAAAAGCAATTCATCGAAAAAATGGAGGGAAATAACCAAGTTTTAGGAAGCCTTGGGCTACAATAGGGGGAGGGGATCCACGTATCCTTTCCAAATTTTAGTATATCATTGTACCTTTAAAAAGTAGCCTATAGCTATTTTTTAACCCTCTAGGTACGCCTGGTCCTGAGATGTGCCCCCGAAATGGTGAAATGGTCAAAAATAGCCATTTTTACCCTATATTTAAAGAACTATATCTTTGAGTACAGTAAACCAATTTTAAGTTTCATCAAAAACATAACTTTTTGATGAAATAATACAAAACCGCAAAATATAAGTTTTATTTTATAGCTCAAGAAGAACAAAAAGAAAAATTACAAAATTGTAGGATTTTCAATTAATTTTGAAAATTTAACCAAACGAGAAAAAAATGTGGAAATTTGTATTTTAAAGGATTTTAAAATACATTTCAAACGAGCATTGACGAATTCAAATCCTTATAATAGATTCATAGATACAGTTGTTTAAAAATGGTCAGTTTTTCCAAAAATCACATTTTTATCATTTCTAAACTGTAGTACTTTTTCATGATATTTCAAATTGCATAAAAATTTTGATGAAGATAGTTAATTAATTTATTCATGGATAAAGTGATCAAATGTGTCAGCAAAGGAAGAAGATACAGCATGGGACACAAAGAAGTAAACATATTCTGTTAGGCAGATGACGCAGTATTGGTAGCCCAAGAAGACTAACCTACAAATTTAACATAAGAGCAAAATAATTTAATATGACAATCTGATATTAGAAAACTAAAACAATAGTAGTCAGCAAAGAACGAACCAGATGTAAAATGAAAAACGATGGCATCAGTATTTAACAAGTAATGGAAATAAAACAACTTGAAATTACACTGTCCAGCTATGAAGACCTGCAGAGAGAGGTGAGAGATCAAGTACAAGAAGCAAATAGACTAGCAGAATGCCTTAACGGCGAATTTGTCATATTAAGCGCAGTATTTGAGATGAAGCCCAGTATTTATAAAGCCAGTGTTAGAACAATAATGATTTATGCATCAGAAACCCGAAATGCTACTGGATACAGCGGCGATAAGAGTACTGAGACGAATTGAAGGAAATACGCCGAGAGATCGAAAGAGGAATAAAGACATTAGAAAAAAATGTAATGCACAATATATAAACTAGTGGACACTAACCAGAAAAAAAATTGAATAATCCTATAGAATGGGGGACACCCGTGTGGTTAAAACAGCAAGAAATAGATCACCAATCGATAGAATAAGTATCAGATGGAGTGAACATTCGATAGAGGTATCAATCCACCAAGGAAGAAACAGAACTGCCTATATAGAGGAAGAAGAAGAAGAACGAAATTAAAAACATCATAATACTCTAAGTTGGATGAAAAAAGAAGCAAGATTCGATGAAAAAAAAAAAGAAGCAGATAACTGTACCAGAAATGTAGCAAACAACAAACGCTTAATAGTAGTGAAGTAAAGTAGCTACTGGTGTTTTAACAGTTTTAAATCCAAAATACAGTGCAAGTGGCAAAGTGAATGGGGTAACTCCTAATCGAAATTAACAAAATCAAACTATTTACTATATTTATTGGGAATAAGCCACAATTTTACTTTAAATAAGTTTTAATATTGGCGTATTCCCAATAAAAATGGTAAATTGAAGTGTCACCAGAATATAACTTCATAACAATATTAAACCAATATATCAAACAATGTCAAATCTTTAAAAGGGTAGACAAAGCA